AATCATATAGTAGGATCTAATGTCTATTTACTATAACAATTGAGTTCAAAGACCACAAAATTTCTAATAGGACTTCTTAGGAACAAATGTTTACATTCATTTTCAATGGGGGAGAAGAATTTCAGTTAAAATTATTTTGAAGTGGATAGGTTATTAAAGTAGAAATTTTATCGTATCCTAAAACATAGAGAAAACTTTAAAGGACTATTTAAAACATGTTGTAAAACAAAATGTCTATGAAATAAAAAGAAACTAATCATAATACAACATTTTTATCTATAACTTAGAACACCCTAATTTTGATATGGGAACTCATTAACAGAATACATAGATAGATCATTCCCTTCTCTGAGTATCAGCCTTCCTATAGAAAAGGTAGGAGTAGAATTTAACAAAATTTCTTCCCAGATGAAAAGAAATGCAAAGTATGATACCTCTTAGTAAAGGCCACTTTTTCTTCAGCGAAGAAGAGAAAAGTCTACTAGTGTCAAACCAAATAAATGTTTAATTGTATTTAGTATTTCCTGAGCACTGATATATCTTTTCACCAATATCTCAAACATCACAATCAATGAGTTCTAAAAAATAAAACCACTACCAGTCACAAAAGCAGAATATGCACTTTCTTTCCTAATGACTCATTTAAATGTCACTACATCAGAACTTTTACCTCTAGTCAAAAGCCACGACCTCGCAACTCAGTGTTTCAGTGAAATGATTTTAGAGCATTATATGATACTAAATTATAAGCCCTGGAGTATGCATCCCTGGAGAATTTGAAAGCACATTGTAAACATTTTCCTGTATTTTTTCAAGATAACTGAAAATACCTGGACATCACCTCTTAGACGAGAAAGCCCAAGAGCACAAACCTAGAACTGTCCTTAATATTCCTATGAGGAATAGCTGCCTAGTTACACAAGAGACTCCATTTCACCAGGGCAGGTACCAACAGAAGGTGATAAACAGAAACTGAACAAAGGTTGAAAGTGGGGAAGGGAAACAACATGGTTGTTTTTGCTTTTTTATTATTATTATTTTTATTGAATCACCGTGAGATACAGAGTTTCAAAACTATTCATGTGTTTAGTCATTGTTGGTGGGAATGCTGACTGGTATAGCCATTTTGGAAAATAATATGGGAATTCCTCAAAAAGCTAGAAATTTAGCATTTGACCCATTCTGGGAATATACCTCATGGACCCAAAAACACAAAGCAGAAATGTTATCTGAATTTCTAAGTCCATTGCACAACCCAAGTGTCTGAGAACAGATGACTGGTTAAAGAAACTACGGTATGAAACACAATGCAGCTGTTGGGAAAAAAGCATTTTTAGGGTGTGAACCAAGCAAGTGAGCTAGAGACAGAGAAGGATAACCAGATAAAACATGCTCTTGGTACATAGCTGAAAACATATTAAGGAAAGCAGATTGAAGAAGTCTCTTTGTGAAAAGTATCTATGCTATTTTTATAACATAGTCTTTGATCTTTTAATGTATATGTTATCATGCACCTGAAAAGAGTGATAATTTTGCTTCATTTTTCAATCTGAATTTTTTTCTTGCCTAACTGTTGCTAAAAGATTTTCAATATTATATTGAAGAATATTGATAGAAGGGGCCATCCTTGCACTTTGAGCTTTCTTTCTTTCTTTCTTTCTTTCTTTCTTTCTTTCTTTCTTTCTTTCTTTCTTTCTTTCTTTCTTTCTTCCCTCCTTCCTTCTTTCTTTCCCTCCCTTCCTTCCTTCCTTCCTTCCTTCCTTCCTTCCTTCCTTCCTTCCTTCCTTCCTTCTTTCTTTCTCCCTCCCTCCCTCCCTCCCTCCCTCCCTCCCTTCTTTCTTTCTTTCTTTCTTTCTTTCTTTCTTTCTTTCTTTCTTTCTTTCTTTCTCTCTCTCTCCCTCCCTCCCTCCCTCCCGCCTTTCTTTCTTTCTTTCTTTCTTTCTTTCTTTCTTTCTTTCTTTCTTTCTTTCTTTCTTTCTTTCTTATTGAATCACTGTGAGATAGAGTTACCAGCTTTCGTGTTTGAGTTACAATCATACAATCGTCAAATATCCATCCCTCCACCAGTGCACATTCCCCACCATCAATCTCCCCAGTATATCCCCTCTTTCCCAACCATCCCCCTGCCGCCATGGCAGACAATTTCCCCCGTACTCTCTCTCTACTTTGGGGCATTATGGTTTGCAAAACAGATACTGAGAGGTTAGTTATCATGTTTGGTCCTTTATCTACTTTCACCAAACATCTCCCATCCCGATCGATTCCTCCAACCATCATTTTCTTAGTGATCCCTTCTCTATTCCAGCTGCCTTCTCTTCCCCCACTCCCCAATCATGAGGCAGGCGATGGAGCAATCTTCCTGGCCCTTGTGTCTACTGTCCTTGGATGTTAGTTTTATGTTATGTTATTTTATACTCCACAAATGAGTGTAGTCTTTCTATGTCTGTCCCTTTCCTTCTGATTCATTTCACTTAGCATGATACTCTCCATATCTATCCACTCATAAGCAAATTTCATGACTTCACCTCTCCTAACAGCTGCATAGTATTCCATTGTGTAGATGTACAAAAGTTTATTTAACCTGTCTTCTGTTCTCAGGCACTCGGGTTGTTTCCAGATTCTGGCTATTGTGAACAGTGCTGCAATGAATATACAGATGCAGATGTCATTTCTGCTGTGCTTTTTTGCACCCTCGGGATATATTCCCAGAAGTGGTATTGCAGGAGCATATGGAAGCTCAATTTCTAGTTTTTGAAGGAACAGCCATATTGTTTTCCAGAAAGGCTGGAGCAGTTGGCATTCCCATGAAGAGTAAAAGAGCGTCTCTTTTCCCCCACATTCACACCAGCACAAGAAAAAGAACTTTTGTTCTTTTGAATGTGTGCCAGTCTCTGTGGTATGGTATCTCATTGTTATTTTGATTTTCATCTCCCTGATGATTAGTGATGTGGAGCATTTTTTCATGTGCCTTTTGACCATTTGTATTTCTTTTTTTTTTTTTGAGGAAGCTTCAGCTCATTTCTTCTCCCCACTTTTTGATAGGGTTGGAGGTTTTTTTCTTGTACAATTCTAATAGTGTCTTGTATATCATGGATATTAATCCCTTATCAGACGGGTATTGGGTAAATATTCTTTCCCATTCTGTGGGCTCTTTCTGTATTTTAGTCAGGTTCTTTTTTTTTTTAATTTTTATTAGTGAAACACCGTGAGGTACAGTTGTAGACTTACAAATTTTTGTGCTTGGATTTCAATTGTACAGGGATCAAATACCCACCCCTCCACCAGTGCCCATTTTTCACCACCACGGGTCCCAGTATCCCTCCCACCCCCCATCCCTCCCATCCCACCCTGCCTCTGTGGCAGGGCATTCCCTTTTGTTCTCTCTCTCCTTTTGGGTGTTGTGGTTTGCAAAAGAGGCATTGAAGTGCAGAAGCTTCTTAGCTTGATAAGGATGAAACACTACAGACCAAGCAAGTGGAAACAAACATAAACAAAAGCTTTCAACTGTTTGCATTAAATACAAAGTTAGACAACTAGACAACATTCCAACCAGCAGCTTAAAATATATATATATATATATTGAACTAAGCATTAGGTAAAGGTAAATAAAGCTTAGTTCATTATCTATAATATAGATAATTGGAATCAATTCAGGTGCTCAGCAGAAGAGTGGATAAATATATATATGTAATACATGTTATATATATATACACATATATATTTATAATGGAATATTACACAGGTATGATAAAAGAAAAAATCCTATAGTTTGCTGCACTTGGATGAAATTATACCGTGTCATACTAATTTCAGTGAGTCAGATAGAAAATGACAAAAACTGTATGTCTGGAGCAATAGTACAGTGGGTAGGGCATTTGTCTTGCACAGGGCTGACCCTGATTTGATTCCCAGCATTCCATATGGTCCCCTGAGCACCGCTGGGAGTAATTCCTGAGTGCAAAGCCAGGAGTAACCACATGCAGTGCTGGGTGTGACCCAAAAAGCAAAAACTGGATATTCTTCCTAATATGTTATATATGTAGCACTGTAACACTGCAGTCCCGTTGTTCATCAATTTACTCGAGTGGGCACCAGTAACGTCTCCATTGTGAGATTTATTACTGTTTTTGGCATTTCAAATACTCAATGGGAAGCTTGCCAGGCTCTGCCATGTGGGCGGGATACTCTCAGTTGCTTGTGGGGCTCTCCAAGAGGGACAGAGGAATCGAACCCAGGTTGGCCTCGTTCAAGGAAAACGACCTACCAGTTGTGCTATCACGCCAGTCCTATGTTATGTATAAAGAAACAAATCAAGTAAATTCTTTTAAAAGTTGTAAAAAAGTGTAAAACATGCTAAACTATTAACTTAGAAATCTGAAAGATCCCATGTAGTCTTCTAATTATCAACATTAGTGAATAAATGCAAAAATACCAAGTGAGGTCATGTTTTAAATGATAAACCACAAAGTACAGAAGGAAAATATGTGAGGTATCCCAAAAACTCTTTTCTTTATTCAGGAGCAGATTTTATACTCCTTTATTAAAATCTCATCTATTTATGAGGCTTTTGAAGTTCTGCTTGGACATACAGTAGAGCATGACATAGAATTTGTCTGAAGAACTACAAGGATTTTTAAAAATATATATGTAGAAGTTGATAAATGTCTGTAAGAAAAATATACTCTTCATCACATCAGATCCACATTGAAGAACTTATCAGGCATAAAACATTATTATATTTGAACAAGTGTTTATTGAGGCCTCAATTACAAAAGAGAATAATCCAGTGATTACCTATATGATAACATTAGAGGAAAAGAAAAAAATGTGTTATTACATAATCAGATATGTTGATAAACTGAATACCAGCACATATAAAACAGATCTCAGAGTATAATATTAAATATAAAAAACTCTGCAGATGAATAGTGCAAAATATTAGTTATTTATTCAATTATTCAGGAGGTTACAAAATATCACATGCCTTGTTAAAAGATAATTTACAAAGTTTGCAAATTAAATTTTCTTCTCCATAATTTTACCATTGCTCTTTTCATCTCATTGTTTCTCAAGCTATAGATCAGTGGATTCAGTAGTGGTGTAAGAAATGAGTAAGCCAATGACATCAATTTCTTGGTTTCTGGGGAATAGCCTGATTTAGGCTGTGAATAAGTTAACATAGCTGTACCATAGAAAAGGGTCACAGAAGTTAGGTGGGAGGCACAGGTGGAAAAGGCCTTTTGTCTCCCAGTGGTTGTTGGCATCTTCAGGATGGCAAAAAGAATTCGAGTATAAGATAGGAGAATTAAGAAAAACGGTACCACAACCACCATAACAGTGCCTGTGAATGCATAGATTTCAAAAATAAAGGTGTCTGCACATGCAAGCTCCAGCACTGGGGGCGTCTCACAGAAGAGATGATTAATTTCATTGGGGCCACAATAGGGGAAGCTAAAGACCCAGGAGGTATGCACAGTATCCAATAGGAGCCAAGAAACCCAGGAGAACATTACTAATCTCATGAAAACACTTTTGTTCATTATCACTGGATAGTTCAGTGGATGGCAGATTGCAGCATATCGGTCATAAGCCATTGCCCCCAGGAGAAAACATTCAGTCCCACCAAAAAGAAGAAGGAAGTACATCTGTGCAAAGCAGCCTGCAAAAGTAATTGTAGTTTTTTCAGAGGACAGGACCACCAGCATTTTAGGTGTAGTAGTTGCACTGAAACCTACTTCCAACACAGACAAGTTCAGGAGAAACAGGTATAAGGGAATGTGGAGGCTTTTTTCCAGGGAGATGACAACTATAATGATGGCATTTCCCAACAGAGTCACCAGGTAAATAACCAGGAAAAACCCAAAGAGCCGCTCTTGCAGTTCAGGATAGTTTGAAAATCCCAAAAGGATGAATTCTGTAACAGAGCTCTGATTTTGCCTTTTCATTTCAGTGGTTGACAATAAACACTACTTTTACGGATTCAAAATACAAAGTATTAAGTCACAGTGCAATAACGCCGAGTCCACCCCAATAAATCCTGGCCAAAGTGGTAAAGAGCAGCACATCCTGACAGAAATGCAACAGCAATATTGGAGAATGGCCAACTAATCATATAAGTAAATTTGCAAATGAAAAATGAGAAGTGAAGAATTCTGGCTCAGAAATCTAGTCTGAAAAGTATGAAAATAGAATCAAAATTCTTTTGCAACCAAAACACTGTGTAATTTAAAATTCAAGCCTCCCTCGCATTATAATAAATAAAAATATAAATATTAAGTAGTTCTGATATTTTTAAAGACATTATCTTTTAAATTTTATATAAATGTAAAACCTAAGCTCACCAAATTATTTAGTGCTTAAAGGGACCAAGGGTAGAATCTCACAATGTATTGTAAAAATAAAATATAGTAATGTAAATATAGTAATATAAATATTTATTGATACAAGTGATTGTAGATAGCACTCAGAAGAAACACAAAAATGTTGTGTTTTAGGTGAGCCTTTCTTAGACGATCCACAAATTATGTGAGTTGATACAGATATATTGACTTTGTACCAGACTGCACCTGCCAAACCACAGTGGTTCTTTCTGCTTGCGACTAGTGATCAAGATCACTCCAGCAGTACCTGGATTCCACAATACAAAATGTGAGTTCTAGCCCTTTGAGCTATCTTCTAAGTCTCTGCACTTACTTGAGCCACTGGGGGCTCAAATCCCTATGTAAGCAATGGAAATTAAGTGTTTGATTTGATTGAACCTCTAAGACAAAGACAGAGTCAGCTGCGTCATTTGTGGAATGAGGATCATTCGACTACTAATCTAATGCAGTAGTAGAAGGCAAATTGTCTTAGTTCTAATTTTAACCATATCCCTTTATTAAAATTAAATATCCATATTAACCAAAATACTTTTGGTTGTTAAAGAGCTCACAAATAACTATCAATTGACTCTGTAAGAGAAAACATTTGTACGAATATATGTAATTGATTACAAGAAATTTTTTTTGCTTTTTGCGTCACATACAGCGATGCACAGGGGTTATTTCTGGCTCATGCACTCAGAAACTAATCCTGGCGGTTCTAGGGGGACCATATGAGATGCTGGGCCTCGAACCCGGGTCGGCCATGTGCAAGGCAAACACCCCACCAGCTGTGCTATCGCTCCAGCCCCAGTTATGAGCAATTTTTAAGTAGGTAGGTTTAAAATGTATAAATTTAGAGTATCATATGAACACAATAGAAATATTTGAAGAGTTGATTAAACACATATCAGGAACAAAACCGGCAGGAAGACCAAATATACATAGATAATCCACTTTTCACTATAACTTCAAATATTCTAATGTCTTGAGTAAACTTACATGTATAAAATACTTAGACAGTTTAGTAGTAGCTTTCAATCAAAAAAGTTATAAGTTGGCCTTATTCATCTAGTTTCCTCTCAGATGCAAATTTCTAGCATTCTATTACTACTCTGTGAAAGCACTTTTAACTTAAATAATTACCTGAACAATTCCCTAAAAGGAAGATTTAAAAATTTGACCAATATCAAATACAGAGTCTACTGATTCAAATGGTGTGTTCTTTATAAACTTTATTATTATGAGCCCTCAGCTTAGTATTTCCTGAATATTGACATTTCACGCCAACATCATCTGCAGTTATCAGTGAGAACTACAAATAAAAACCCACTACCAGCAATATCAGCAGTATCTTCACTTTCTTACCTATTGACTGTTTCTTTAAATGTCACTCTATTTTCTCAGTTTTACCTCTAGCCAAAAATCACCTCCTCAGAAATAAAAATCAGTGACTCCGCGAAACAGTTCCAAAATACTATATGACTTTGAATCATATTCTCCAGAGAGTCCATCCCTTGATACTTAGAACCACTTGATAAACACTGTTATTTTTGTGTGATAACTAAAGTGGCGCAAATTTGTTCCTTCTAGTGAGAAAACTCAAGAGTACAAACCTGGAACTTCAGTTCTTATTCCATTAGGGACCAAAGTGGAAGATTACAAAATCAATACCCCAAAGTCCATGACTTTCCTATATACAAATAATGAAAGAGAGAAAGAGACCATTGAAAAAAACAATCCCCTTCACAACTGTGCCTCAGAAAATCAAGTACCTTGGAATCTGTTTAACTGAAGAGGTGAAGGACTTATTAAAAGAAAACTATAAAATACTACATCAAGAAATAAAATAGAGGGGCTGGAGCGTTAGTACAGCAGGTAGGGTGTTTGCCTCGCACACGACCAACCCAGGTTCAATTCCCAGAATCCCATATAGTCCCCTGAGCACTGCCAGGAGTAATTCCTGAGTGAAAAGCCAGGAGTAACCCCTGTGCATCACCGAGTGTGAACCAAAAACCCAAAAAAAAAAAAAAAGAAAGAAAGAAAAGAGGACATGAGGAATAATAGAGACACATTTTCTGCTCATGGATTGGGAGGATTCTAAACATTGTCCAAGTAACAATACTCCCCAAAGCATTATACAAATTTAATGCAATCCTTATAAGGATACCCATTACATCCTTCAAAAAAGTAGATAACACTCTTGAAACTCATTTGGAACAATAAACCCCCATAAATAGCTAAAGAAAAAATTGGGGGAAAAGGAAAATAAGAGGCATCCCTTCCCAACTTCAAAATGTACTACAAAGAGATAGTAACTAAAACAACGTGATGTTGAAATAAAGATAGACTTGCAGACCAATGGAATAGAGTTGAATTACCTGACACATACTCTCAAATATATTATTATAAAATCTTTGATAAAGGAGCAAGCAATATGAAGTAGAACATAAAAGTCTCTTCAACAAGTAGCTAGAGTAATGGGGCAGCTCTTTCTAACACGTCTTTCTAACACCAAGTCATATAAAAAAGGATTAAAGACTTCAACATCAGACCTGTATTCATAAGGTTCATGAAGGGAAATGTAGGCAGAGCCCTCCATGATATTGAAATACATCTTCAAAGATAAAACACCTCCAACCAAGCAAGCTAATGCAAAGATGAACAAATATAGTTTAATGTATTTTAAACTACATTAAAATATAAAACTTCCACACTTCAAATGAAATGGAGACCAAGATACAAATAGCCCACAGAATGGGAAAAATTGTTTGCCCAAAACTCATCTGATTAGGAGTTAATATCAAAGACATATATGGCACTGGTAGAAGTTTACAAGAAAAAAATCCATCTTCATCAAAAAATGGGTAGAGGAAATGAACAGAAGAACAAATGAACAAATTCTTCTCCTCAAAGAAGAATTTCAAATTGTCAAAAGGCACATGAAAAATGCTCTACATATCACTAAGAATCAGGGAGATGCAAATAAAAACAACAATGTAATATTATCTCTCCCCACAGAGACTAGTACACATCAAAAAGAACAAGAACTTCCTGTGCTGGCAAGGATGCAGGGAGAAAGTGACTCTCCTTCATTGTTGGTGGGAATACTGACTGGTTCAGCCTTTTTGAAAAACAATATGGGCATGGCTCAAAAAACTAGAAGTTGAGCTCCCATTTGACCCAACATTACCACTCCTGGGAATATACCCTAGGGGCACCATAACAAAGAGCAGGAAAGAGACCTAATCTCTATTGTTTATTGCAGCATTATTCACAAAAGCCAGAATCTGGAAAAAACCTGAGTTCTCAAGAACAGACTACTGGTTAAAGAAAACCATGGTACAGATACACAATGGAATACTATACAGCTGTTAGGAAAAAATGAAAATGAAGTCATGAAATTTGCCATGCATGTACAAGGAGACTATTATGCTGAGTGAAATGAATCAGAAGGAGAAGACAGACATAATATGATTGCATTCATTTGTGCAATATAAAAAAATCATAGTATGAGACTAATAACCAAGGGCAGTAGAAACAAGGGCCAGGATGAGTAGTCCACAGTTGGAAGCTGGCCACAAGTGAGAGAGAGGGCAGTTAGGATGGAGAAAGAACTACTATGACAATAAGAGTTGGAAATGATCACTCTATAAGAATTGAGTGCTGGAAGTAGGTAAAGGCATAGTCATGATAACCTTTAAATACCTGTATTGCAAACCATAATGTCCAAAGGAAAGAGAATAGAGAGAGAGAGAGAGAGAGAGGGAGAGAGAGAGAGAGAGAGAGAAAGAGAGAGAGAATAAAAGTGTCTACCTCAGAGGCAAACTGGAACAGGGGGTGGGAGGGAGGACATCAGTTGTAGAAAATGTACACTGGTGAGGAGACAGGTTCTGAAACCCAATCACGAACAATTTTGTGTATCTCATGGTGATTCAATAAATAAACAAAAATAAGTAAAATTAATTTTAGATAAAAAAATTAAATCTTAAATTTGAAATACTCTTAAGTATCTTTTGTGTTAGAAATTAGAAATTAAATATAGGCTCCTACTATATTTTCACGAATTTGCGTGTCATCCTTGCGCAGGGGCCATGCTAATCTTCTCTGTATCGTTCCAATTTTAGTATATGTGCTGCCTTACAAGCGGCCAACATGGCCGACCCGAGTTCGATTCCTCCGCCCCTCTCGGAGAGCCCGGCAATCTACCGAGAGTATTCAATATGCCAAACACAGTAACAACAAAGTCTCCAATGGAGACGTTACTGGGCCTGCTCGAGCAAATCTACGATCAACGGGAGGGCCTTTACCTTTACCTTTACTATATTTTCAATTACTATATACATTTTTATTTATTAAGTAAGTAAAGTAAAGGCCCTCCCGTTGATCGTCGATTTGCTCGAGCGGGCCCAGTAACGTCTCCTTTGGAGACCTTGTTGTTATTGTGTCTGGCATATCGAATACTCTCGGTAGCTTGCCGGGCTCTCCGAGAGGGGCGGAGGAATCGAACTCGGGTCGGCCATGTTGGCCGCTTGTAAGGCGAATGCCCTACCCGCTGTGCTATCGCTCCAGCCCTTTATTTATTA